TTGCCAACTGTAGCCGACCTTCTTGAAATAAGGAAGCAATGTATCCCACTGCCAATCACTGTTTCCCAACTCAGCCCAGCGATCATAGTCTGCTTTTGAACCACGGTCATAGACCATGCGATTGAGCTTGGTTGAGCCTCCAACGACCTTGCCCAAAGGAATGGAGACGTTGCGTCCATTGAGAGAAGTGGTGGCGGGATAAGTCAGATTCCAGTCGTACTTTGTGCCAACAGCACCGCCAGCAAGGCCTGGGATTGTCACGATATCTTCATTCTTATCGCTGTATAGCTGTCAGTATCTTATTACTGGTCAAAATTCTCAGATCTCTTACAAATCACCAGCTTCAATCACGAGCACAGTCACAGCTGTTGGGGCGTCAGCAAACATGGAGGGCTGATGCAACGGCAGAACGCACCCGGATCCTCCGATAGGCGGTTGGCGACAGTGAGGCCTGAAGCGCCTGCACCAACAATGATATAATCGTATTCTGTGCGCAAACTTGCATCTTGACGTGGGTAAGCTGATGCTGTTGTCGCGTGCAGGCAGCTCAGGGCTGCCAAGGTAAGCGCCTGGAATCTAGACATGATCGAAATGAATGACGGTGAATGAATGTTTGTATTTACAACTTGGCTGATCAAACTGTAGCTGTAAGAGAATGGATGGGACGAAGGCGATCTTATACCCTCCGAGTTGCAGCAAATACCTGATCAGGACTGATACAGAAGGTGTCATTACAATCTATCCCAGAACAAAACGTGCCATTGATGATTCCAAGCGTTGGCACTGGAAAACCTGCTTGTTTATGCAGCCGAATCCCGCGCTCAATTACCGAAATCGAAGGTTTTGTTTCACCCCTTGGATGGCCGTTTCAGGAACGCATTCAAAAGGACGCTCAAGAGGGAATCATGTCCGCAAACCTTATTTCGGAGCTCCGAATAGAGTAGGATCCCCCATTGGACACGGGCCAGGTTCTCAGCGAGCATCGCCTTCAAGACCCTGGCTTAGCATGGCCTGATAAGGTTTGCATAGCCGATTTGGACATAGAGTACGCGCATCCTGATGTTGTAAGCAATTGTAATGATATTGTGCCATGGCCGGTGGGATAAAAGGATGAGGACTGAGGAGGTGTTGTTTTGTAGCCGAGACTACCGAGGTGAGTGAGGTTGGATCTATAGAGGAGTCAATAAAGACCAGGTCTTTTCATACAAGAAAATAATTTAATCTCTCTGCCTATCATCGAGTTAAGTATCAGATAAGACAATAATAAATACATGGAGTTCAAATTTGCAATGATTGGCAGCCTTGAATGTATTTATACGAGTAAGTAAGGTAGGATAGCTGAAAGGTCAGTGGCATAACTCGCCTACACAGCCGCCGCATCAAGATCGCATGTTACAGTGGGATGCGCCTCTGAGGGGTTAGCGCCATGGCCGCTAAATCTTAGTCGCTGTTGACGCCTGACAGCAGAGCCACGATTCAACTTCAATTGAACTCGTACAAGCATTATGCCTGAAATGACGATATCACGGCAATTGACATCGCCGGTACCTTTCTTTCCCCTCTATTTCAGTTGGATGCCCAAGGTACGCAGCTCGTGTTGAAGTATGATTTGATGCCATCGATCACAGCCTGGACAAGGCTCTCCTCAATAGAACCATCCTGCCACGTAAAGCCAAACCCAACATACTCCTCATTGTTAAGTACGCAAACCACCACTGGAGCTCCTCCAGCATATGCGCATCGGCTCAACAACACTCTTCCCCGATGCCATGATATTTTGGCATCACCCTTGACATTCTTAGCCTGTGGAAAGGTCCCGAGGTTTGAGATCTCAAAAGATTCTCCGCGAGGATGGCCGATTGATCCGGCCAAGGCTGCGCCGATGTCTGGAATGAGCCTGAGCGCAGCGACATTTGCATATGGCTCTCCGGAAGGTGAGGCATTCGCAAAATACTTTCTGGTAGCCTGTTGAATTTTCTTGGCATGGTTCCAGATCCCAAAAGCACCTGCACTTGAGTCATCCGAAACCTGATCTAAATCGGCGCGAAGAAGCTGGACTTTGAAGGCATCAATGTAGTTACCCATGACTCCTTCGACCTGCTTTGTTGGTAGGTCTGATCGCAAGCTTACTGGGAGATTGCATAAAAGAGCCTCTGCTGTCGATGGGAGGTTGTCGTATAGCAGCCTTGCGACCAGAGCTGGAAGAGCCGCTGTTGGCGCCACTCTGTGCTTCTTGCAGTCTTGCACAAAGCGCTCCATGATATTTGATGGGAGCGAGAGTGATTTGTAACGTGTACTGCATGGTAATGCAATGGGAGTGCCCCTCCACTCATTCAGCTGCGCAGCATCAGATGTCGGTGCGCTTGTTGGAATCGGCAATGGGTGAAGCTCCTCCAGTGATGGAGCAATCGGCCCATCATTTGAGAATACAACGTGATCAATCTTTTGTTCTGTGGAATTTGCCACAATGTCACAAAGAGATTTCTGGAAGGAATCATGGAATATATGAAGGCCAGTGCCGTCGGTCATTGAATGGTGAGCAATGAATGAGGCCGTGAATCCTTTGCTCAAACCATGGTCTTTGAGTATTACCAGTCTCCAAACTGGTAAAGTGCCGTATCCAGTCTTGAAGTTTGTGTTGTGTTGGCGCTCAAGCAGTGAATCGAGCTCCTCGTCTGTTTGATCTGTGGTCCAACATGGCTGACTTCGTTCAACAAAGGACACAACTTTCTTGAGATCGATTGAGGCTAGTCGTCCCCAATACGGCTCTTCTTTCTCAGGTATCACTGGGATCGCGAACAGAACCGGATGCTGGGTGAGGACTTGTGATAAGGCACCGTAGACGGCCTCTTCCAGATCGAAGCCAGGCAAGACCTGTGTTGGCGCGTAGTGTGCAGAAAGACCAGTATTTGTAAAGAAGTGTATATGATGGGCGATTGTTGAGAGCTGCTCGAGCTTGCCTACGCTCTTAGTTAGCAGCCTTTGAAGGAAGGCAGGCGGAAATGTGTACCAAGCGGGCGTATCTTCTTCAATTGCCGTTCCGTCATACTGAAAGGTGCTTGCAAATTTTGGCAACGGGAAGATGGCTACTGTCACAGCATTGCAGTAAGATGAATGGCCAAAAACACATGATGTACTAGTTAAATCTCTTTCCTCTTAATTCATTCGATGTGGTGGTATCGAGGTAGCTGAACTCCAACTCGTTTACTGCGTGCGAACATATGAGCAAGAAAGACAATGAAAAGAGGATCGCGTACCTGGTATTGAGAAAGTTATTTATTTATGCGCGCAGAGAATCTAGAACGATCCTTCAAGCCTCTTTCAGGGGTCCCATGACTAGGCGGGACAGATAATGAGCTCTTGCCTTATCGACGATAGCTTCATGCACAGGGCGAAATCAACTCAAATCTTCTCATTCGGGGCCAGTATCCACCTGAGATTCGAATTGAACTAAGGGATGCCCATTGTTCACGAAACGCGACTTCCGGAATACAGGTGTTCGAGAATGAGACACTGCAGGCTTACACGTACCTCTTTCTCCACGTATCTTCTGTCATATCTGCCAGCTCTGTTTACCAAATAACCCATCTCAACGTACTCATAACTTGGCTGTCAAGAATCGAGCAGTGCCAATTTCTGCGAATCTTGATCATCTTTCGTCGCCATGACATACCCATTCCCATATTCACAAGCTGCTAAGCTTGACGAGAGGATCAAGATACCTCGTCCAGCATATGACCCTGACCTGGCACCACTGTTGGACTCTGCCTCGTTCCCTGAAGAATTCGACCTAAACCTGATGCGCGGAGTCGCGAGTGGCGATCAGGAATGCTCCCACGGCTCATTCATCTTCAATGCGGAGACTGTCCTGAGGGACAATCCAAACTTGAGTCATACAGAGCACTTAATTACTGGACCTGACAATAACACAATTATCTTGTCAGTGTTCGCACCTAAGGACACATCAAAGGCACCTAGGCCAGTCTTGTATCACATTCACGGTGGCGGGATGGTCAGTGGTGATAGATTCACTGCCGTCACGTCTGTGATTGATCTTCTTAAAGGGATCGATTGCGTTGTTGTCTCCGTGGAACACCGTCTTGCTCCCGAGACGCGCGCGCCTGGCCCAGCTGAAGACTGTTATGCGGGGCTTGTTTGGGTTTCCGATAATGCTTCGAGCCTTGGAATTGACCCAGCTGCCATTGTCGTGTTTGGGGTGTCAGGAGGAGGCGCCCTTGCAGCCGCTACGTGCCTTATGGCTCGTGATAGGAAGCGCCCAGCTATCCCGATCAAAGCTCAAATGCTCTACTCGCCTCTCCTGGATGACCGATGCGAGAGCCTGGCTGATCAGCAATTCGAGTACGGTAACCCTGCCAGTACAGCATGGCTTCGTGCCATTTGGGACCTCATCCTGGGTGATGCACGGGGATCGGAGCATGTTACAACGTATCAAGCGCCTGGAAGAGAGGCTGACCTTTCGAATTTGCCCGCTGCATACATCGATGCTGGAGAATGTGAAGTCTTCCGCGATGTCGCCGTTGCTTATGCTACCAAGATGTGGCGAGGCGGATCAACATGCGAACTCCATATCTGGCCCGGAGCTTGGCATGGATTTGATATGATGGACGATCCTAAGATGCCACTTATTCATATTGCTAACATGGCGAAAGCTAACTGGCTTCAGAGAGCCATGAAGAGCATTGTAGATGACAAAGTGTAGTTAAATAAAAGAATTGAAACTGTTAGCAGCGATGTAACGATTATGTCCAAGTGCGATGAAATGGTTGGTGGAATATAAGAAGACTGGGCTATAAACTTTCGCGGTACATCGTTAGAATTGAAAAGAAATCTAAAACGAAATCCAAATCAACTGAACGTTGAGCTTTGTGAAGAAATTGTCTATTGAGGAATTGAGGCGATTCTGTCTATTACTACTTGCACGGCCATGATCTTCCATCTTAGGGGCCCTTTTATATTAAACCCCTAGACTCTGTTTGCCACTATTCACCACTCACTGGTATGTCTTGACAACTCACACCGGGCCCCTTCTTGCTACATGTCTCAGCGTCTCTAGTTACGGCACATATTAGCTCCTTGAGCCACACCACTTTGTTGAAATCGTTTGGTTTACAGTCTGGGACCCTGCCGATAAATGTATGTTCCGACTTCGCCATCTTGTCATTTTGCTTGAAGTCAGCCGACATCATGAATTTTGCAAGCGCAGTCAATCTTTCTCTCTCTGCTTCTGTCAGGGACAAGGAGGTTGGTTCTTGAAGCTCAGTAAGCGGTGCATTGCTCTGAGTCTCACTGCTTTTCACCTCCAGAGTCTCCGTCCCAGCCTTTTGGCCAGACTCGTTACCGTTGGCAGACTCTTGGAAGTAGCTGGGTCGACCATTCTCGTGGATGATCTTCATGTTTAGGTCTTTTAGGTACTCTCCCTTTGGAGCACTGGTCCATTCCCCGGTTGCTGTCAGGGCAACACAGCAGTGCCACGGGGTAGTGAAGCCCGTCCTGGTGTTGAGCAAGCTCATACTAATCTTATGCTCACCAGTTGACTGATGGATAGATAGACGGAGGTGGCTAGGGAAACCGTGCTTGACAGCAGCGGCGAAGGCCTATTGGATAATTAGAGATCGGGTGAAGACATGTAATTTATGCTACTCACATAACCTCGGATCAACATCTGCTTCGCAAGATACCTCACATCCCTGCGGTATGCATTTGCTGTTCGTCCATTGCCGACTGGAAAGATATGCTTGAGATCAGATTCGAGGAACCGCCGGTACCCAAGATAAGTCATCTTGGTGTCAGGATCTTTCTCGATCTCTTGGTCAATATCGATATCGTCTTTGCCGAAGCGGTTGAGAAGAGCTCGGCGGAAATTGGTCGCATTGGCGACATAGGCAATCTCATGCATCTCCGCTGGCAGAGGAAGGTCGACCAAATCTCGGATCCTGGAAAACGATATGTGCTGGAAGCCTTTATCAGAAGCTAATTGTCGAAGTGCTTCCCCGTAGGCCCAAGTGTCACGATCGGGAATACTCAATAGGTCGTTGTAGACAACGCCATCTGAGATGATAGTGCACTGAGCGCCAGGCTGGTAGATTTGGCCAATGCGGATACACATAGTATTGAGCCGATCCAAAGCAATCTCCTCCGCTTTGTCAGGCAGTATCCCAAAGACCTTGTAGGCCTTGTTTGCTGATTTGAATGGAAATGCAGGTAGGCACATCTCGACCCTTGTCCTCGCAGCCACGAACTGGCCCACGACGGCTAGAAACTTGGGTCTACCGGCCTCGAGCCTCTCTTGGCTGTCGCTGAATTTGTTCAGGGCATATTCGAAGATAATATCCAAGATCTGGGAGGAGATCGTGTGCACAGACGGATCTGCGTTGTGCTGCTCTGCAATAGATCTTAACGTCGAGACCGCTCCCGATTTGGTAATGTTGGACTGTTCCTGGACGGAAGCATCCGAGACAATTTTGGAGGTCGCAGTCATGTTGTGTTGGTTCGCGAGGGCAGGATACGACGTTATGATCTGCATAGAGATGGGGTATGTCTCGAAACTAAGATGCGTCGAGGTAGCACGGCATCCGTGTTGTGTTTCAAGATGAACCACTTTTCGTTGATATGCTGGATTCGTGGTGGAAATATGCAGAGCGGTTAAAGTTTGAGCACGACTATAAGTTTCCAAGGATATTAAATATGAAGCCGAAAATGTGCAGGGTCAAGTCAGAAAGAGCATGGAGAACAAGAAAGTCTTGATGACCAATTCAGCCAAAGGATTCGACCGATCTGACGATAGGTATCTTGGTATTGGGGTATGTGCTGAAATGACAAGCTGCAGGAACATCAACTGACTGTGTTGAGTGTGTGAATCGATAAGCAAGGTCTCGTATTACTCACTGGCAGGGAGCTTCAGCGTGGCTGTGAGAAACTGCGCACTGAGTATCCACTTGAGGCTGATTATATGCTCACGATCCGGGGTGATGAAGCGTCGACAGGGGGAACTGAGCAAGTTACATGCATCAAGACGCTAAACAATGCGCTCAAATGTCGCGTCACCGGTTTTACACGAGGACGGCATGCATGAGCTTCTGTGCGGTGGCGTTGACCGAAAAAAAAAAAAAAAAGTTTCGTGTGAGCATGAATGAGTTCGTTTCTCATCATATTAGCACATGTTTACACGGGGGTAGTACTTGAACTCACAGGCCCTTCTGCCGAAAAGCCCTCATCTCAAGGTAATGCGGGTCCTTTGAGACTCTTTAGATTGAAGAAATAAATTACCAAAGCTCAGAATTTGTTATGATAAACTCATCTAAAGCCGCTTTGAGTTTTCTGGCACCAAGGATCAAGGTCTTGCTTGCATGTTCTTCTCGTGTCACTTTGTTAGTTCAATAGCGAGATACGGCTGACCCTGCCAAACTCACTGTGAAGTCTCTCTCTGTGTACCATTCACGCATCTTTCAGAATGATCGACACTGATTCCTCGTACGGGAGGAGACTGATTCCCCAGATACTGGATCGCTTAGCGGTGGCGGATCCAGAACGTCATGTCTACTCCATTACAAGCCTTTCCGATGGTATCCCAAAATTTAAGCATATTACTGCACAGGCCTTTGCACGGGCCGTTGACAGAACAGCGTGGTGGCTCCATAAGCACCTCAATGAAATGAATGGAGCCTCCAATGGCGATCCGGCACAGGAACATGCTGTAACAGTAACACACAAGATCCAAGCTTTGGGTTACATCGGACCTCGTAAGCACGCTGTCAGATTTTATGAATCACATACGAAGATCTCACACAAATCCAGATGACATTAGGCATGTGCTGTTGACCTATGGTGCTGTCAAGGCTGGCTGTGCTGTAAGTCATCACAGAACCCATTATCGTCCAAGCTATGCTGAATAAGTTCAAACAGGCCCTCTTTCTTTCGCCCAAGAATAACATCACCGGTGCGTTAGCTGTTCTCAATGCTTCTGATTGCAGTATTTGGGTGAAGCCCCGAGAGCAAGCAATGCTCCCCTTAGTGGAAGGCATTTTACAGGAGAAGTACATGAGGGTTCTCGAGCTCCCAAGCGTGGATGAGCTTCTGGAAGCTAAGTCAACGGAACCATTCGTGTTTAATAAGACTTTCGAGAGTGCCATAAACGAGCCATTTTGCATATTGCACACTTCGGGAACTACTGGTGTGCCAAAGCCGATTCTATGGACGCACGGCTTGATCGGTACCATGGATGCCGTGAGACTGCTGCCTCCCATCGAAGGTGATGGTGGATTGACTCCTTGGACGAATAATTGGAATGAAGGTGATAAGATCTACTCCTCCTTTCCTATGAGCCATGTAAGTGTATCCGCAGGTAACGCGAGCCAGCTAACCACGGAGTCAGGGCGCCGGTGTGATTATGGATATACTTATGCCCTCCTTGTTTAATCTTCATTGCATTCTTGGGCCCTCGGGCGTCCTTCCCAATCTCGGACTGATCGAGTCACTCACTGGCCATATCGACATATGGAGTATGGTACCTTCACTTGTGGACGAACTAGGCGAGAACCCAGAAGTTTTGGCCAAGTTCGAGTCATCCAAGTTCATTTGTGCCTCCGGTGGTCAGTAGCTTCAATCCATCTCAAATAGCCATGGACGTGAATCACTGATCTTCTTCAGGCCCCGTCAGCCCCGCCATTGTCTCCAAGGTCAATGAAGTAGTCAGGGTACTCAACCTCACAGGCACAACGGAAGGTCTCTTCATCGGCAATCTTTGGGTTCCGAGAGAAGACTGGCATTGGTTTGCCTTCCATCCCTACTCAGGTTTTGAGTTCAAAGAGGTCCAGCCTGGTGTATATGAACATTGGGTACACCGCAATGAGCACTGGGCTTTATTCCAGGGAATATTCTATACCTTCCCTGACGAGGACTCAGTCAATCTCAAGGATCTGTACATCAGACACCCGACGAATCCTAATTTCTGGGCCTTCAGTGGTAGAAGTGATGATGTTGTTGTCCTTTCCAACGGCTACAAGATCTCTCCCTTGGACACAGAGGCTTTGGTAACAACGCATCCTGCAGTCGAAGGCTGCCTTATGATCGGCACTGGGAAGCCTCAAGCAGGTCTACTGATTGAGCTCAAGGACAACAGTGAGAAGAGCAACGAGTTGTTCGACAGCATCTGGGCTATCATTGAGAGGGCAAACAACTCCACTTTCCAGAAGACTCGGCTACAAAGAGAGTATATAGCCTTCTCGGAGGCTGACAAGCCCTTCATTCGGACAGACAAACAGACCATCAAACGCCGTGCCACTCTGGATTTGTATGCAGACTTTATCGATCGCTTCTACATCTCTAGAGGTGAGGAAGCTGAGGATGAAGATTTTGACGCATTTTCGATTGACACTACGTCGATTGGCACCGTCAGAGAATCGGTCTCTCATGTTATGCGGTCTGTTTTGCCAGAGGTTGACGATTTCCCGGTCGACGAGGACGTCTTTGACCTCGGCTTGGACTCTCTTCTCGTCTTTCGAGTCATTAGAATTATCCGTGCTGTTACAGGACTTGAGGAAAAGCTTGCTCCCCGCCATCTGTATGCCCATCCAACCATAGACGAGTTTTCTGTTCAGCTTCTCAAGATATTGGAAGAAGAAAAGGCCAAGAAGATTGCTGTGGACTCATTGAGCGACACGAAGACAAGCAAACCGACAGAAACACCATGTTCAAGCATCGAGTCTGAAAAGATGGCGAAGATTGTGGCTGATCGCAAGCGGCGTCTGGGATCCAAGATGAATCCATTCGATGCTGTCAACCCCAATCACTACATGGGTCTCAACTTCTATTTCGCCCTTTCACCAGGCGTCAGCTTCGAAGAAGCCTTTGCTAAGCTACAAGCTGGCCTTTCTCGCGTATTCGAGATCATTCCCGAGCTTGATGGAAAGATGATGCTGGCCTCGGAGCATGAGTTTGGGTATAAGAAAGGCGAATATCGCATTACGATTCCTCCTCATCCGTTACCGGCCTCCTCCAAGCCGAGGCAGCTGGTGTACAAAGATCTTTCTCAGGTTCTTCCGTCATTCGGGGAGATGCGTCAAGCGGGCTTCTCGCCATCTTTGTTCAGCGATGAGCTTGTCCTGGATTGCACGCCTTTCCCTCCAATGCCAGCCGATATACTTGTCGCACAAGCCAATTTCGTTGAAGGTGGATGTATTCTGGCGGCCAACTTCATTCATACTTGTCTTGATGCTGTTGGCGTCATGGTGGCAATCAGAGCATGGGCCGAGTGCTGTCGGTATCTCGATGGCGACGAGACGGCGACGTGCGACTGGTTCGACCCTGAAAGCTTCAATCATGATCTTCCTGAGATTATTTGGGAGAAGGAAGGATATGCGAAGCCGGTTCATGAGGTCGATCCTGGCACTTGGGGCTTTCTTCCATTCACGCCCGAGATTGGCGTCGACCTGCGCAAAGGGACAGATTCTCATGATGAGAATATGGCTTCTGGAAAGTCCCGTGCTAAACAGAACACTCTCCCTCCCGCTCCTGTGTTCCCAGGAAGCTCAGTATGGCCGGCTGCTCCAAGCGAGCGATCGCTCAGCACTACAGTGTTTCTTCTTTCGGGGGAGAGTATCCATAGACTCAAGCAAGAAACCCTGGCGGATGCCGGGACCAACGGTGTTTCTACATCAGTGATTAACATTGTGCAAGCCTTTTTCTGGCGTGCATCAATCAGATCTAGATACAGAGTGGCTAAGGAGATCAGAAACCAGACCTTTCAGCCTAACGAGCTGTCAATTCTCGAAATGCCAATCGATGGTCGGCCTTACTTCTCATCACTGTTGCCATCGTCCTACATGGGCAGTTTGCTGGTGATGAATCGCCCAGTCATGCCTATCGAAACACTCTGCTCTCCCGAAACAAACATCTCACAGATTGCGCGCGTGATCCGAGAAGCGGCTGCACGAATCACACCATCACTTGTCCATGACACATTCACTCTACTGCGTTCTATGACGGACTATAGCAAGCCCGCAACAGCAAACATGGGTCTCGAGCACATGGATGCTATGATCTCCAACATGATGCTGTTTCAAACAAGCGACGTCTCGTTCGGTGGCTCATTCTTTGAAGGGGGTAGCCCGGAGGCAATGCGGCCACAGATCGAACGTGGCCATAGACGATTCCGGTTCTTGGTCATCTCTCCGATAAGAAAGGATGGTGGCGTGGAGCTCGTGCTCGGAACCTTGCCGGAGGAATTAAACATGCTCATGAGTGATGAGGAGTTCACTAAGTATGCGGTCTTGTTGGATCATAAGCGAGCTTGAGCTCTAAGGTGGGCAGTTTCGGCTATACGGAATAATCTGGGTAGTACGAGATTTATGGCAGAGGGATAGGATTTGCCTTCGATTTGTTCCAATCAACTAGCCTTGAGCCTGAGCGGCATGTTGACTTCTATCATCAACCTCAAGGGTGGAAAAACTTGGGCAAGGTTAGGATAATTCATGATAAGCT